ATAGCACTCCGGCTGGCTCGTATATATAGCAAAAAGTTAATCTTATACATGAATAGCACACTTAAATGGCTCCCAATATTCAGCTTTGTGTGGGAGTTCACTACTTGTAAAGACAGCACATAAGCCCTAAATCGAAATAATGGAAAGTTATGTGCTGAGCTAATGGGGTAATAGAGTCAGTCTGCATACAAATAATTTCCAGACTCATTAAAGTTTGACAATGTGCATTGATTTGTTAAAAATGTTCCCTTTTGTGTATAACTGCATATTGCAAGTCCTAAGTGTTAACGTTGGTACATTTTAATAGCAGATTATATGTGTTAGTTGTGGTGTTACATTAATGTATTATTCACTGAAAATTAAACAAGTTGTCCAAATACTACATGTGTTTGAAATCGTTTATTACCGTATTATAAGTGTAGGTACATGTTCACTTCGATTTTGCTTCTTTCACGGGATGCCACAGGATAAAATGTAACTTACATGATGCAAATTTGCCAAATTTCTAAATTTCGATTATACTTATCAATCATCTCCCCCTTACTGGCAGACTTGCCCCAGGTCACTCTTACAAATGAGACTATCCTAGTCTCTTGAGTTATCACCTGGTTAAACAAAATAAATTTGAACAAATTAAAATGGATACTGAGATTTAGATTCTGAACTCCACCACAACGGCTAACTTGTGATGTCATTTATCTTATTTTGGATTTTATATAGCGATTTCCTCAAAGCGCTTTATAAGAATTGTAAATTGTACATTAATATTGGCTGATGGGAAAATGGGATATAGTTTGAGTGGTGTGGAGGGGAAGGGATGGCAAGGAAGGGTGATGATAGGGAAAGGGAGGAGTGAGGTGAGGATGGCGAAAGTCGAGGATGGTTAAGGTTTTAAGGATGTGGATAGGAAGTATTAGAGGGATAGGCTATTGAAAAAAGATGAGTCTTCAGGGAGGAACGAAACATTGTGAGTGAAGTTGCCTATTTGATGTGAATTGGGAGTTTTATTCCAATAGAGGAGAGACAGGAGAGAAAAGGAGCAGAAACGTGACTGAGCACAGGGAGGGGGGCGTAGTGGGGCTAACAGAGATTGTGAACGCAGGGGACTAGATGGGACATTGTAAGAAATAAGAGAAGTGAGATAGGGTGGGGCAGAACCATGGAGCGATTTGTAAACAAGAGTGAGGAATTTTAAATAAACAGCGGTAGTAGACGGGAGCCAATGGAGTTGGACAAGGAGAGCAGAGGAATGAATATAATGTGGAAGATTAAAATAATCCGGATCGAAGCGTTTTGAATTTGCTTGAGGGGAGCTAAAGAGTAGGCAGGTGACCAATAAGAAGGGAATTACAGTAGTAGAGATGAGAAAAGATGAGGGAATAGATGAGTATTTTGGCAGCGGAAATTGAGATAAGGGGGCAAATTTTCCGGATGTTGAAGAGATGAAAGCAGCACATATGGGATGCGGTGGAGATATTCTTGGTGAAAGAGAGCGAGGGATCAAATGTGACCCCAAGATTTCGAGCAAAGGGGACAGGAATGAGGGAAAAGGGGGGAAATGAAATAGTGGGATTGATGTGAGGGGAGCGGGAAGCAGGAAAAAAATATGTCGCTCCTGGAGGGATTGAGGGAGAGGAGATGTAGTGCCAACCATAATTGGACCGCAGTAAGGCATTCAGAAATACGTAGAGCGAGATCTGAAGTGAAAGATGGGAAAATAAAAAATAAGCTGGTGTTGTCCGCGAAGAAGTGCTTGTGAAAACTAAATTATGAAATGATGGCTTCAAGGGGTGAGATGTCGACGGAAAACAGCAGGGGGCCAAGAACCGAACCCTGGGGAACACCGACAGTGACATGAGAAAGAGGGGGAGTAGAATGATTAAACAGGACTGATGCAGTGCGAGAAGTGAGGTATGATTCAACACAGGAAAGAGGTGGACTGTCGAGGCCGAGACCAGGGAGGGTGGCGAGGAGAGTGGAATGACCGAGGGTGTCAAAGGCTGCAGAGAGGTCTCAGAGAACGAGATTTCAAGAAAGGCCAGCGTGAGCAGAGTTAGGTTTTTTTTTTTTACAGCGAAAAGGACAGTCTCAGTTGATTGAAGCAGGGTGGAAACCCAATTTGAATTGTGATAGAGAGAATTTGAAGAGATTAAATCAGTGAGCCGAGTATGAATGAGACGTTTGAGGGCCTTAGAGAAATAGGTAAGAATGAGGATAGGGCGATAGTTTGCTGGGATGGTTGGGTCGAGAGAGGGTTTTTTGAGAACAGGATTAATAGTGGCTGATTTGAAGCTTGCAGGGAAACGCCAGTTGCAAGCGAGGAGTTAAATAGTGAGACCAGGTAAGGAAGAAGAATATGGAGGAGAGGAGTTATGAGAGAGGTGGGAATGGGGTCGAGAGGGGAGGATGTTGGGTGGGCTTTGCAGATGATAGTTGACAGTTCAGCTACAGATGTTGGTGGGGGGGGGGGGGGAACGGTGAAGAAGGAAGCGGGCGATGGTGATTGTGAAGAAGAGGGAGGGAATTGCGGGGTAATGGAGGAACCAGGGAGGATGGTTGTGCGAATGAGCTCAATTTGTGTGATGAAATGGAGAGCAAGTTCGGAAGCAGAGGGCATGTCGGTGATGGGATAATGCACTCGAGCAGGTGGACAGAGAAGGTTTTTCAGAGTAGCGAAAAGTTGACGTGGATGACGAGCAAGAGAATAAATAAGGTTGGGATAGTACTGCTGCCTAGTCATTTCTAAGGCAGCCAAGAACTTGGTAAAGAGAGAGCGGTGAGATGATCAGCCCTCAGGAAAAGAGTAATCCATTGTTGGGGTGGGGGGGGGGGACGATGGAGAGCGAAGATTAAGGGGAGCTAGGTGGTTGATGGAGGATAATAATGCAAAGAGGAGAGCAGAAGAAGCTGCATCAAGATGAAGGGTGAGAAGTTGGTAATAGAAGGATGCAGGAAGGATGTGAGGTTTGTCAGTGAGCTTATGTCAAGGGAGCGATGGGTATGGCACAGGGTAGGGTGGGGAGCAAGAAGAGAGGGAGGTGAGGAGGCAAGGAAATTGTGACTGAGAGGACAGAGTGATCAGAGGGAGGGCGAGGGTCTGAGGAGACATGCTGCTTTGTAGTCTGAGATAAAGTCTAGCTCTCGGGTACTGCCAGATACATGGGCAGGGAGCAAAGGGAGCAAATCCAGGCCAAAGAAATTAAGGAGAGAAAGGAAGAGACAATAGCGGGACTGTCAAGTTGGAAGTAGAAGTCACCTAATAAAATAAAAGGATGGGGCAGAGGAAAGAAACAAGAGAGAAGGCACTCAAGGTGGTCATAGAAAAGTGCTGGGGGCCAGGGGCTCCGTAAATAATAAGAAGAGTAAGAAGAGTAAGAGGGTAAGGGGAGGAAAAGGAAGAAAGTTGGATTTAAAAATAAGGGACAAGGATGGTTGAGAGTCGCACAGGGGCAGGAGTCCAAAAAGAAAGTGATATGAGACCGACACCACCACCCTTGCCAGCAGTGGGGGTGTGTACGAAGGCGGAGGTAGTGGAAGAGGGGTGATATCCAAGTTTGAATTAGGACGAGGATGTCGAGGTGAAAGAAAGTGTCCAGGGTAGATGCTGGTTTATTGTAGACAGAACGTGCGTTCCATAGAGCAATTTTGATGGTGAATTCAGAATTAGAGGAATTGGGGGCTGATCAACATTTTTGGGGGGGTGGGCATTGTTGGGGGAGAGAGATGAATAAGATTGGATGGGGGCCGAATGGCGGCGCCTAGTAAACTTTTAACCAGTAGAGCCGGTATGAATAGATGAACAGAGCATAGGGATATATATATAGATTTTGAATACTCACACGTGGTGGAGTGATTCGGGGGGGGGGGGGGGGGGAAGGTGCACAGGGTGTGCGATTAGAGCGCAATCGGGAGAGTGCGACGATTGCGAGAGGCAGGGGACGGAGTGGGTGGGTTGTGCAGGGGAACGCGAGGTGGCCGAGCGGCGTGCCCCCTGCCGCCCCTGCAACCACGACGGCGTTGATGATGGTGGTAAGAGCCACGTACGAGACCAAGTTCGATGAAGGTGGTGAAGGTGGTGGGATGGAGTCGCGTGGTAAGTGGGGGACTACGGAGCGCCATCGAGGTTGCTCGTGGAATGAACTGGAAAACGCAGGGACCAGGGCTAGGATGCACACCAACCAGATGTAAGCGCCTCTTTGCGCAGTCCGTTTTTGAGATGGTGAAGGGTGATAATGATTGAGGGTATTGGAGGGGTAGTAATAATGTTAATCGTTAAAGTAACAACATTTGAGGCAAAGGGCGCGAGGTTGGGATATGGAATGGTGGAGGATTTGATGAGGGCTGAAGATAGTGATGTGAGATATAAAGTAGTCTCACACGGTTAGGACAGGATCTTTCCATTACAAATGACTAGCCCTCTCAGGGCATTACCACCCACATGAATAGCAGTCGGTGGTAGAACAGAACGGAACAGCAAAGTCACGACCTGGCAAGGCTGGGGCACCACCAAGTGACAGCACAACACCAACACATGTACATGCCTATACACACCCAGAAGCAAGCATTCCACGTGAGTGAGACTCCCACTCCACCAGCAGACGCACTTAGAGTTAGTCATACCGCAGCAGCGGGACCTGCGTCCCGCCAACACACACACACGCATAGACACGGGCACAACCGAGGCCAGGCATCCCGTAACAGCAGGAACCAGGGTCCGCCAGGATTCACACACACACACCTAGACGCAGACGCACCCCGAGCCAGGCATCCCACAGCAGTAGGGCTCACGCTCCACCAGCACACGCGAACAGACACAGGCGCAAAAGAGGCCAGATATCCCACAGCCACAGGACGCAAGCTCCGCCAAGATTCGCACATATACAAAGACACAGGCACACCCAGGGCCAGGCCTCCCACAGCAACAGAGCTTGCGTTCCGCCAGCACACACAATCATAGGCACACACGGGTCTAGGCAATCCGCAGCGCGTTGCCTCGGCATTCAAACCAGATATTAATGTGAAACATGTAATTCCAACCTGTTGTGTAGTAAATGATTGAGTTCAGCTCAGCTCAACATCATCTGTATTAACAATATTTTACTCACAATTCAATTTCCATATAAATATCCATAATCATGGAACAATTTCGTAGCATCTGCATGAATAAAAATCCAGGGATAGCAATCCTCGATTGAGGAAGGTAGTTCTACACACATTAAAATACAGACAAGGGTAACATATTTGTTTTCATGGGATTTAGTGAAATTGACATGCCAAAGTTATACACCAGGTAAAGTCACCATACGACATGTTATTGTAAAATAAATTGGATCGTGACTGACCCAAATGAGCCTACAGTGCACGTTTAATTAACATACTAATGGATCTCATTCTAATACACAGCACATAAATGTGAGTTAGATTAATGCATTTAATTTTTGTGGCCCTCATTTTTAAGGTTATACCATTACAGAACTGTAAAGCACCTTCATTACTACAAACAGAGATTTAGAATTCTGAGTGTGAACATATTCATTACTAATCCCAATTCATCCCCATATGCCGTTTCATTCTGTTATGGTGTGCACACAGTCACAATTACGTATCAAACAAAACGGTTAAAAAGTAATTAACCCATCAATTAGTTCATTGCAACGATGTTTAAATACATTGTAAATAATATTTCCAAAAAAGTTTTTTTTTTGCAGAATTGTTTGAGGGCATGTGCATGGAAATGGCTTATAACGACAAAGTAATAATGCGGTGAAAGAAATATACTGCACATTTGATTATAACAATATTGATAACCGGTAGCAGTAGAATCAAAATGAAAATTTCACGTTGCCATTCTTTAAAAATTAAATCTCCACTTGTAGTACCATAACCATTTAGTTCAGTAGTCAGACTTGGAAGCTCCCTTAAGTCAGAAAATCACTTTCCAAAGTTTCCTGTGATCTTTAATCTCAACAAATATTCTTGAAAATAGAACCCCTCCATTTTTGTTGAAATTCAGCGACGCAATAAAACTGTACATTATGTATTCAACAATTCCTGGTGCATTTCTTCGAGTCGGCGTTAATAACAGTGACACCGTCTGCACGGCCATCAAATTTCAGATTTTGAGAACAAAATGTGAATTTAACGGGGTTTTTTAATCCAAGAGACATGAATAGGGTTTGGTTGGTATAGTGTCAAATATAGCACGTTGCATGCATTAAAAAATCCTATTTTGCATGTGACGAACGAATAATGAAACTTGAATTTCAAATTGCCCATAAAAAATAATGAAACTTCACCCTAATTGATAAATTGTTACGACGCCAATAAAAACTAACTGTGCAGCGATTCACATTACAAACACGGCACTCTTTTCTAAGTTCAGTAATACCTGGGAAAAGTTAATTAGGCCCAATCGTACAATAGTGATTTTAAACAAATACGCAGATCACGTTACTGAGTTGATAGGGGTAAGTATAAATTGTCGTGTCATTTTTCACAATAAGCTTAATATACCATGCAAACTTTACAAGAAGACAAACCGTTGTGAAAGATTCAAAAAACAAGTTTGACTAAAATGGTACATTTTTATTCATCTGTGGTAAACAGCCTTTAATTGTTATTAAGATCAAAGTTGTTACCAGACTCCTCGAAACACTCAGCATTCAATGGTTCAACGTGCACGAGCAGTCCGTTTCGTATCCACGTGTGGGTTGGAATGGAAGCTTGTTGAAGGACCTGCTCGCTGTTCGAGTGTCAGAATGTCACGTGCTTACAGCACTGCTGCCAGTCACATCTTTTTTACGTCTTCGAGACTCTTGTGTGTTTCTGCTTTTGAATGTCACGCGAGCGATTACATAGTGACTTCTCCCTACCCATGCCTCATTTGTTCCGGTACGGCGGATATTCAAATTGGCGACCTTTCATATTATGTTGATGGATGGCAACTTTTTTTTCATAAACCCTTTTTTGTCTGTTAATTTTAAGTGGCATAGAATGACATTGGAGTTAAAACAAAAAAAACCTGCCTGTTCAGTGTATCTCTATACTGTCAAATAATGTAACGCTGTTTATTTTAAATTGTAATTTTGATATATCTTGGTGATTAAACATGACATTTACAATGTACGATTATATTACTCGAGTGACCTGAAGTATTTTGCATCTGGAAATACCTTTTTTTGTGAATACCTTTTGTGTCATGTTATATTTACTGATATGGCACATCAGCTGTGTTAACAGCTTGTCTTGCGCGCCTACAAATACGGACTGCCTGCCCTGCGTAACATCACACGACCCTGTGCCATCAGCAGGGCCGCAGCTGAAAATGAGATGTATCGCAGCTGTGCGATCATGACAAAACAGATAATGAATACATGGCACACGCACACACACACAGACGCGCATGTACAGTGTATCTCTTGCTCTACGTTATAATCCTTCGTCAAGAACCGCAGACTTCGCTGCCGAAACCTACTGGGGTCCATCGCTGCGTTGTCATTGTGTGGATGCCTTTTTATGACATGCTGCGTTGTCATTGTGTGGATGCTTTTTTTATGACATGCTGCGTTGTCATTGTGTGGATGTGTTTTTATGACATGCTGCGTTGTTGCTCATTCACCTTAAAGCTCGCAACATTTGTCATTATTAGAGCGCAGTTGTTAAGAGTCCGTTACTCCTGTCAGCCGGCGAGCTTTGTGGCAGGATAGCAACAATGCAATGCTCACTCCGCGGACTGCAGTTTTTGATTTTGTCTCTTCAAAAGGCGGCAGGGGGTGTGCAATCAATTCCGCGCAGCCATTAGATGTCCCCTTTTCGCAGCTTTTGTAATCAGCTATCTTCAGCCCTACACACAGACGGATGCATTGATCTCGTTTTGACATGTCACCTAACCGTGCTGTGTGGTTGACTTGTCTTATGTAGACGTAGTCGAAAGTTTTTTTTTGTAATAACGTCAGCATCCATGGCATTGAACCGTTATCAAATTGAAACAGCTGTAATGTATATTGAGCATGGTTAAAGGATATCAAGAAAGAGCTGGAATTTGTTGTACATAAGTGTGAACCATACTGATTGATGTGATATGGACCATGGTTGAGATTTGTGCTTGCCATGAGTTCATATTTTTCTCATTTTGCATCACACTCCCACCCACATATACAACATGTTGTACACGTATGAATGTGTTTGTATATGTGTGTCAACTGTGCCACAGTCGAGAGCACAGGCAGTGCATCTGCCAGTCATCTCAGTCAGTTAACCCATAGCACCTGGGTCTGTCCCGTGAACTGTTGTTGTCTGCGAGCCTTCGACACTTGACCATTTACGTGGCCTCAAAGTTCACCTAGCCTGGCACAAGCAGTGATGATGTCACCGCCACTTAGTGGTGAATGGTGGCTGTTGTGTATGTGTGGGGCGCGGTAGTGAATTGGATGGCACACTGCACTGCGACCCAAGTTCAGTCGTGTTCACGGCCAACATCAGTGACGAATGTCTGAACCGGTCCCGTCTCCGCAGTGGCGGTCGGGCGTCGTTCTGGCCACATCACCTCCATTCGTGACGTGCCGGCCTTCATTGGTACAGCACTTGCTCCAACAGTCTGCGTGGCCTGCACGGGGGATCGCTGTGTGTGCGGGTGATCATCCCGGGGTTCCATTCACGGGCACGTAAGCCGCGTGCGTGCATCTCACAGACTGGTGGGTATGGGAGTTGGGTAAGGGGACGGGTCCCGGGGCACATAGCGGGCGAAGTACGGCAGGAAGGCCGCCAGGAGCACGCCAACAATGGCCAGCGTGTAGCCCCACGCGAGCTGGCAGTCGCCAGCCCAGAAGGGCGCCGAGTCTCCGCACTGCTGCCGGGCAAATGGACTGCCCAAGCCCAGCGGAAACACGAGCAGGCCAGCCCCCATGATTATCACTGGCACGAGAAACAAAGGGGGGGGGGTGATGACATGGCAAAGTGAGAGCGTTAGGAAAGCGTGGCATTCATCGAAAGACTCCTGTGTTGTAAGCACCTCTGGCAGCGCAAGCCTCTGGGGCCGATTCATGCCGAGTTTGCTTTCATACTTGTTTGTGGAATGCGGGCATTGGTGGGAAATTTCCCCAAAAGAGATTACGCCGAATTCAAACGGAAGTTTCTTTAGCCACATTTTAGTAAACGAGGTTATACAGGATACGAAATTAAGACAGGGAGAATTCGAAGACGGAAACACACATTAATATGAGTACTTGGGGAACGCAGACTGATATCGTCTGGCCATGCCAGGAGAAACCTCTCAAATGTGAAAGGTTGCCTTGCTCTGCAAGAGATCAGAACGGACGCTTCGCGTCTGGAGACATGGTGCCGATAGCAACATTTGGGATCGAATTGAGGAGAGAGATTCCAAAAAGACCAAACATTTTCAGTTTGAGACGGGACAATTGCATTTAAATTATTGCTGCGAAACAGCATGCCGGCACGTTCCGACAGAGCACGCTGCTGTGTTTGTTGAACATTTCTTTTAATCACGACCACACGACCGTATGTGATCGCAAACATCCAAGGGAGAGCCGTGACAGCCCAGTGTGCTGATGTGCTGACAGTTTGTTTAATATGTTCTCCTGCTCCTGCAGGGAATATGATAATTTAAGGGATTGCTTGGAGTCTAAGTAAATATGAGGCTGAGATTATTCCCCGCATGTCGCGTCTCGTCCACTAACTCAAAGCCAACGAGGGAACATTAAGATGACGCCCATTAGGGGAACGCTGTAAATCACGGCCTGAGTCGCATAAACGTGTTGTATTGATCATGTAGAACATTAAACTTGATGCTCCTGAGGCTGCCGTTTCTAAAGATTTGTGTTACGTCAAAGAATTGTAACATTTAGCCCTGAGTGTTATGATCAATTTAATAAGAGTCTCGAATCGGCTACAATGGGCCATTCCTTGCTCAGTATTTCATGTTGGATTAAGTATATTGAGAAACCCCATGCATTGAGAAAATCCAAGCATATTGCACTAAAACATGTACGTTAGGTAGGTTAGCGACCTATTTGTTCTACTGTACCTGCGACCACCGACTTGCAGCCGTAAGAATTATAAGGCTCACTCACGAAACCTGCGTAATCTGTCATGCCCCTCCAGGGTTCTAGGGTGGAGGCACCATCACGCCTGCATTTTAAAATCACATTGTTTGATGCTAATAATAATGTGCGGTAGTAGTAATGGGCAGATTCCCTGTGATGCCCAAGAACAATCATGTTCTTTTAAAAATAACGAACTGCAACTTAGAGCATTTGTACATTTGACATTGATATAGCACGAATGCCGAATGTGTCGCAGACGAATTTTTATTCCGCAGGAGTTTCACAGTCGCGGCCGATGTTGCTGTGTGAGTTTACCCCATTAGGTAACCGCTGAGTAATTCTACACTCTGGCGAATTTGTACCCTGACGCCTGCACGCACGGCCTACGACTCTTTTCAAATCACGGCATCTTTACCGTCGACTGTGATGAAGACGGCGCTTAGTATTTTGCGGTTGATGCACACACACACACACAGCCGCAGTATTATTAATCAGGGTTGCCCGCTTGCCTCGAACCGATAACCTCTGCAACAAGCGGCAAACGCACTCCCCGCCTGGCCATGTGACACCGTATCACAGTTCGCCCGGGTAGCGCGTGGCGTGGAGAGATGGCTCCTAGCTTCACCTGCTGGACTGCAGAGAGGATGGTGGCGCTTCCGAATATTTGTCTTCTATTGAACTTCCAGTTGGCCCAGTCACTTGGCTCAGGAGCGCAGCAAAGATTCGAGTGCCAACACGCGGTGGGGCAGACGGCTTGATTAGCCCAGCAAGGGAGCGGCAAGACTGAACATTAAAAATAAAACCCCCAACTGTAAATGTCAGGTAAACAGAAGTATATCTAATGGCAACCCAATGGAGTAATTGAGAAATTACATTGGAGAGTAGGAGGCAATCGATAAACAATTATGTAAAATCTGGCAGTATAAAGGTTTCCAACGCCATGCAGAATGTCTAAGGTGAATGCGGAGCTCACCTGAATAGCAATGCATCGTCACTGATGCACCTTGAAACGCGACACGTAACTGGTGCTCATTGAAACTGGATTGAGCCCCATTAATAATTAACCAACCGATGTTACAGCCATTAATGTCAACTTAAAGATGCATTGAATTATTAATCGCCAATATGTACTGAGACTCGCCTATGACCCAAATCACCCGCAACGCGTCCGATCTCATCACATCTCAGAAACTAAAGCGGGGTTTGAGCCTGGAATAGTACTCAGATTGGTGACCGCCGTGCATAAGAGGTGTTATATGTTGTCAACTTGCACTATGCCCCCCCCCCCCTGCCTTCAAACAACCCGCAGAGACCAGCGTGGGGTGAAGTATGGTCAAACTATCCACGGCATGGGGAGGCCCTCATCCAACGGTGGATTAACAAACGGGACTGTGCAAGTGCGTAATGCGCTAAGAACCCTTCAAAAGCGAGTCGTGGATTTAATAAGGGGCCATCCATTTAGTACGTACGCATGGAGGGGGAAGGGGGGGTTAACCCAAATGCGCACGCTTGCGTATGAGGGGTCTACTGACAATGTACGCATAGGAAATGGGGGGGGGGGGGGGGTGAAGCCTCGATAATAATTTGTCTACATTGGCCTTCAACTGAGTTAGATAGTCCGGCGGTGGACTATCTGTTTGCTTAAACACGTTAATATTATTCATCTGAGAATAGGGTTTCTTCTTTTATTCTGGCAACAAAACAGGTGTTCAGATGTTAAAACACCAAAGCTTTTACGAGGAATCATGTCTGCATTAACCACAATGCTTGTGGTCAGAATGCAGACAAAAACATACTTTGATAATATATGCATTATCTTTGAAACTGATTGGTCCACACCAGAGACAGCTTTCTTTAGAGCCTCGTCTCAAACGGTGTTAGACCAGAGGACGCCAAAAGGCGTACAGCCCAAAGACAAAACACTATCAAAGTAATGAGAGTTTGGGGTGAGCAGCTACATCATGGAACCTCCTTTGCCAGTACCAAAATATGAGATGAATAGGTGTACATGCGCATGTGGGGGGGGGGGGTGTAAAAAGTACGCGTGCGTACAGGGAAAGGGGTCAAGATTTGATAGATTTGTGCGTACGTACTAAATGGATGGTCCCTAAGCGCGCAGAATTTGTGACCATCGCCATGTCTGTGGGTGCGTGCTGACCGTGTCACTGTCAGATTTTGTAAGCGTGTAGAATGAACGACGCAGCAGCAGCAGCACTAAATATATATAATGTCGTAAAACTAACAGAACAGCAAACGCACGTGGCGTTGTCTTGCGCCTCCTCGTTGGATTAAAAGTTGTTGCGTGCGATTACTTAAAATGTCACGACAGCAAATCAGTTTGTCTTTGTTTATGGAACAGAGAGCTATTTGGAGCGACGCCAAGTCTCTCGTTGCAATTGCCATTTATTCTGCACTGCAAAATAAATCAGGATGCCGACTGTGGTGGCATAGCGGCGCAGGGGCACGAGATTTTCTCGTATGGCAGATGTCCCTCAACCTCCCAGGCCCCCCATTGCCCCCACCGCCCCCGACTCCCGGCAAGGCTTGCAGCTGGGAGTAAGGCAGGGCTGCTGATAACCCACAGGTTACTGTCTCCTGATGAGACCTGGCACTGAACAGAGACTCTCCCCTTCCCCCCATCCTCCTCTGCTCGATCCTCCCTCTCTCTCTCCCTGTCTCTCTCTCTCTCTCCTTCTCTTTCCCCCCCATGGGGACCCAAATCCATCTTTTGAGGTCCTCGCCAGAGCCAGCTCGCTTTGAAATCTCATCGTGCAGTTGTGGGCCATCACTGCCAATCCCCAAACGGATCGCAGAGATAATGGCCGTGCCATGTAGCAGCAGCGGGGAATATGCTACGCCAGTGCGGTCATTAAGATGCGTCGATGATAGTAATTAACGTTACGATTGGTTTATTTTATGCCTTGTACACTGCACGCAATAAATGACACGTTATTTCAACGGCGTGTGTGATTACAGGATGCGCACATGTTTATATGTCTCCGTATATGAATAAAACGTGTTGTAGTCCTTTGGCGAAGTGGCTTTCCAGACCAATATTCATCAAGTGGGATTTGTTGAAGCGAGAAAACTCTGGGTTGGTTTTGACCATCTGTTTCTCCATCTGCAGAGTCAAGGTTGTGAAACCAATGTTGCTGGATGCGCAGATGTTATTGGTAAGAGAAATTCATAAACAAAAATTTGAGGCCACGCTCAAATACAACAACGCACAAGAACTCGTGCGATGCCGTCATCGTGGACCGTTGTTAAAGATTCATTCTCAAATAACGGTCTGCGATATTTTGAATCACAATCATGGGTAAGAGTCAGTCGTAATTCACCGCTGATCACGCGATATTCGATGGCCTCGTCTTGTGTCCAGCGGATTTTATACCGACGTAAATTATGGATATGTGGAAGCGAAATTTCTTGTAGCATATGCTTGAAAAGCTGTCCATTTAAAGGTCTGGCACACAGCAAAGTACAGTGGGCTTCAGAGGTGGTCATTAACATTCACTTTTTGATGTCTTCATGCGCTATTAAATATTAAACTGGGCTACGAGTGCATTTCTGCTAGGCAATGACTCAGACGGCGGAGGGGAGCCTCACCACCAGCAGGCGACATGCGACAAGCAGGTGCCGGGACTGTGCACCGTGTGCATCACAAACACCGCGTCATCGTCGTCGTCAGCCATGGTCAATCCACTGCTGGATGGAAGCCATCCCCAAGCTGTGGCCATCTCGCGGATTTGTCTTGGAACGACGCACCGAGCGCTTGCTCGCGAGATGATTTCATCGCTCCATCTGCACAGCGGTCGACCACCTGGACACATTCCCACCCTATACGGCGTATAC